GGGGGGGGGGGGGGGGGGGAGAAAATAAAAAAGCATTTACCAAATGCAGCGTGATAGAAGGCGGAATTTCCCTAAATATTTCCTATCTGTGAACGCACTTATCGAAATCAGCATAAATCTACTCCCTCTCGGCAGACCAGGAGTGATGTGAAAATTAATCGTTGGGTTTTCTGATCATTTCTTGCTTGTTCGGATGAAAGTGGCATTTTGGGGGGTCTCGGGTTTGTCGTGAGGCTGCCGGGTCCTCCCTGCCCTTTGAGGGACGGGGCCGGTTCGCTGGGGAGCGGGGACACAGCGAGAGAGTTTGGGGTGAGAAACTCTTCCCAGCCCTTCCCAACTGGTCTCGCCGCTTTTGCTGACGCTAAAGTTGCAAGTGGGAGAAAAAAATATATATATAAAGAAAGAAAAAGAAAAGAAGAAATAAAGAGCCTCTTGGGGGAAAAGGGATTTTTCCCACGCACCAGGCGGAGGCACAAGAGAAAATAAATCTCCCTGCTCCGGGGAAAGGCGTCACCTCGTCCCAGTAAATTCACAGGGTTAGGGAAGGAGAGAGAAATGCAATAATTGTGAGACAACCCCGGGCCTGCTTCTTTAGTGCAAATGAATCGGTGGATGTGAGGAGCTGCAGGAGAGGGAGCCCATGGCCAAACTGAGAGGTGTCACGCTCCCACCTCCCAACTGCCTGCTTCTTTTTTTTTTTTTTTTTTTTTTTTTCCCCGATTTTAACCGGTTCCTGGGAATCCCTGACACAAACCCAGCAACATGGCGACCGGGACGCGAGACTGGGAAAATTATATTCGAGGAGGAGGAGGAGGGGGGGGTGGAAGCCACCGACAAACCCAAGCCCAGCCCAAGCTCTTGTTCTCTGAGCGATCCCCGTCAGAGCCTGCACGCTTTTATGCTTTTAAATTACAGTATCCCCGAATGGTAAATTGCTCTCTGCATGGGCGGGCATCACCCAGCCCCCGGTCCTGAGGAGAAAAACAAGCCCTGTCTCCCTCTTACACCGTTATTTATTATTGCGCGAGGGTTATAATTATTAACCTGGAACTTCATTTATTAAGAGAGATCAGAGATAGAAAGAAGCGCAAGATCATTTCTCATGTAAAGCTTTCTCCACTCCACCTTTTTATCCGGGTGGGTTTATCCAGGCACCTCGGGATGTCCCTGGCTGTGCACACCTGTGTGTGTAAAACACGGATACACGCACACACTCCTTATTTCTACAGCCCAGCTCTTTTTGTTTCTTTTTTTTTTTTTTTTTTTTTTTTTTTTTGTCCTTTTTAAAAAAAAAAAAAAAAAAAAAAAAAAAAAAAAAAAAAGTTCTAGGAAAAATATTAAACCCCCCCCTTTTTTTTTTTTTTTTTTTTTTTTTTTTTTTTTTTTTTTCGGTACCTTTTACAGCCTTTTTACCCTTTTCTCCCGGCAACAATCAAAATCCTCCTCTTTTTTTCCCCTGGAGAGGACCTTCCCCTCTTCACCAGCCACAGAAACGCAGCATTTGGAGCCTGACAAGCAGTTCACCCCCTTTCCAGAGCCATAAAACTTTTATTGGCCCTCGCTGCTTTAATATAAGTTTTCTTAGGGCTTTAGAGCATAAAAAGGAAATTATTCACGGTATTATCCCATCTGCTTTTGCTGCTGGCAAAGGGTAATTCTCCCTCTCGCTCCCACTGATAATGTAACCTTTGTCGGCGGCTTTTTCTCCCTTTTAATAACGATTTTAAATATGTGTGTTGGTCTGAGAGGGGTGTCGGGGTGTGTGGGTTTGTGTGCATGTGTGTGCACACGTATGTGTGTGTACGTGTGTGATTGTGTGCACGTGCGCGTGTATTTAAATAATAAATAATCGTAATAAGTAATTTAATTTCTTTTCACTTTTAAAGACCCCGCACAGAAACTCTGGGGCCTTTTTCTTTTTTTCTTTTTTTCTTTTTTTCTTTTTTTCTTTTTTTCTTTTTTTTTTTTTTTCTTTTTTTTTTTTTTTTTTTGAGATTGATCCTTTTCCTTTGTTTTCATTCGCGGCCCAATGGCAGCCCGGCCCCGGAGCCACGTGATCCCCCTTTGTGGCCGCGGGCGCGGGCCGGGCCGCGCAGAGCCGCGGAGGGGGCGGCGGGGCCGGGCCGGCCTCCCTGGGCCCGAATCCCAGGGGTTTCACCCCAAAAGGGTTCGCAGACGCGAACCCCGCTGTGCGGACTCCGGAATATTTCACGCGGTCCCTTCCCTGCGTTTTCTTCGCCATTTTTGCACACACGTCATTTCTTTTTGCCTTTAAATGCGACTGATAGGACAAGGTAAAATTGATAACAGAAAGTTTATTCAAGAATTGTTCAACAGACAACCCTTAAGCAAGGAAATAAAATAACTACTATAAGAACAAAGAAAGATCTCCAAAGAGGAGGGGTGAGGTGGGAGGGAGGGATTAGCTATAGTTCTTCTAATTCAGGACTATACAATTACAGTCTGGTTCTGCTCTCATGCCTCCAGTAGAACTAATTACATTATTCATAAGTACGAAGGTAACATAAAACTACTGGTCTTTCTAAATTACAATAACTAAAATAAGCTTGTTGTACAATGACAAGGAAACACAATGTCCTTTATAACAAGTAAATACTAAAAAAGTACAATTTGATTCTTTTTTTTTCCTCATATAAATACATAATATTGGGGATAAATAATACAAAAAAAGGAAAATATTTTAAACTGGCTATAACCAATAAATATATATGAATGTTCACCAGAACACACACCTATTGAAGGACGTCTCGACTGAGTTGGACGAATGCCCTTCAAAGTTGTTTTTATACCCATTATATGTAAACTCTAAGTGCAACAAAGATGTCCAGACAAGAAAGCATTAGCAAATACTAGAGATCCATTCACTTCTGCTTCGATTGGAGGACATTCCGTTTGTTCAAATATACCCTGTTTTCACGTAAGGTCAAGAGAAGAGGAGGAAAGAAGCGTAGGACTTCTAAGTTCTTAAGATTGCTTTTCTGCTAATGAACCCTAAGAAAAAATACCCCCAAAACAAACAAAAAAAAAAACCACCCTGGTGTCATCGAATGGAGACTTCATGTCATCAGAGGCGAAGGTGGGAAAATATTCAGACCTGTCAACTCTTTCTTCCTCTCTTTGGAACCCTGTTATTGTTGGAAGTGGGGGTTTTAGGCATTTCAAAAACTTGTTTCCCAAACCTTTTGCAATTCTTAGACCTCTCTTATTTTTTTTTTTTTTTTTTAAATCATTATTATTATTTTTGAGAGGGGAGGCAGGGGCTGGAGGGGAAGAGCGTGAATCCTGTGTGTTGGCAGGTGTGTATATTTGCAGTTTGTGTGGAGACTGGTGGGAAGACACTCAGCGAAAAAGGATGCCTCCTTCTGAAGGCTGGGAAGGAAAGCGCGAGGTTCCTCTTGAGAAGGAGCTGGAGAGGAGGGTAGTTTTCTTGCTCAAATCTCTTTTGATTGCATATGTATACACGTGTGCATGTTTCTGTAGAGGCAGACACACCAACTGCAGAGGCTTGGCTGGCCGACCGTTCTCCTTTCCAGTGTCCAAGAATTATCAGTGATGATTGGTGCTTGGTTTGGAAGGATGCTGCTGCTAAAAATCTGCTAGATTCCCACAGAACTACCCCAAACCCATTTCAGAAGCATTTGTGTTGAAACACGGGAGGTATATCTCTTCAGAGAGAGTGCTGCTCTTGGCAGTAAATACTGAAATGGTTGGAAATTGTGCCTAATAAATCCCAGAAATAGTAATAGCGAGCACAATAAACTGGTAGAAATTGCCCTGTCAAAGAAAGAAAGAAAAGAGCTCAACACAAATGTTCCTGAAGCCGATCCTGCCCTCTTCCCCTCTCCCGTGCCCTGTGGCGAGGTCCCATCTGCTTCGCCTGAGCCTGTCCCTGCTCCCCATCACAGGTGGGTCAGCTTGGGCGCCTCTTGGATTCTGCCCTGAGAAGAAGCGTGGTGCGTGGAAAGGTCTGTGTAGGTGGGGTGGGTCTCACATGGTCCGTGGTGCTGGCTCGGGGGCATCTGCGGGGGCCCGTTGTAGTCCATGTTGGCAGCCTGGTGATGGGGCAGGTGATTGAGGCCGTAAAGGGACGGGCCAGAGGTGGGCATAGAATCCACATAGTTACCTCCAACATAGACGGGGCTTCCCTGCATACTGGGAGTCCCGTAGGCCACCCCGTTCCCTTGTAAGACGTGGGGGTCGTACTCGGGGGCCGTGTTGGCGTATTTCTGTTGGGAGGGGCAGCCTTTGATGGGGTTTTGGTAGTTAGTTGACATGGCATAGGCATTTTGGTGGGGTTTATTGAAGGAAGGCGGCGAGGGGGCATCATAGTTACTGCTCATGGTGTGCAAGGCGTTCATAAATCCGGCGGAGGATTGCATGGGCTGGGGGGGGCTGCCGGTGGGGGAAGGCCCTCCGGAAGAAGACCCCATGCCTTTCGACTTCTGATCTTTCTTATACTTCATCCTCCTGTTTTGGAACCAGATCTTGATCTGCCTCTCGCTGAGGTTCAGCAGGTTGGCCATCTCCACGCGGCGGGGCCTGCACAGGTAGCGGTTGAAGTGGAATTCCTTCTCCAGCTCCACCAGCTGAGCACTGGTGTAGGCCGTGCGGGCTCTCTTGGAGGCCGAGGAGCCTGGAGGGCTTTTCTCGCCGCTGCAGGTTTCTGCTGGCCGCGAAATGAAATAAAAGATAATTACTTACATGCAGAAATTGAATGCATCGTTTCTTAATAAATCCTGGAACAGGCACAAGAGTTCAACCCCCCCTTCCCTCACCCCTTCGCATTAGCCTGCACTCCATAATCATGTCATTTATTAAGAGTTCTGTTCTCCAAAGCTGCCCCTGGTTTATGAAAATTTGATCATGTCATGTAAAAAAGGATTCCAGGGCCATTTATTTAGGAGTCGATTATTTCCAACAGATAATTTTGAGAAAATAATATTTGGCAGGGGGGCAGTCACTGCAAAGCCAATTAATACTAACACGGGTCAGTGTTGGGAGGTATTTTTTTTGCCGACGTATGAATGCGCACACACACACACACACAAACACACATATGTGCATCTTGTGTGCGTCTTGTATTTGTGTAACACAAGCATTTACGTTATTAAACACCAAATTGCCTTTATACCTACCTTTTGGGGACATAAACATGCATATAATAGGTAAATGGTATTAATGTAGAGCGAAGTGCCTGCTGCAAATTTTATATGAATGTATTTGTCAGAAGAGTGGTATTCCCATACTGATTTTTTTTTTTACTGGATTGCATTAGAGATGTGTCTGTGCATGCAAGAATATCCATGTGGTTATGCATATGCTATCTATATGCACGCATACACTCGGAGAGCACCACGATTACTGCTGTGTCTGGAGGCAGGGAGGTGGGAAGAGAACAAACGCTCTGCTGTAGCATCGTGAGGTTGAGCAGTGGGTGTACGTTTTCCTGTACCTGTACCCACGCAGCCAGACATGGGCCGTGTACAACCGCCCGGTTGTATTTCCCTGCGGTGCTTTGGAGATGTTTAAAATAAACCAAGTGTGCGCAGTCGGTGCTGCAGGATGGGCCAAGGCTGGCTCAGCCTGGCCGGGGCATGCGGCTGGCAGTCTTGGGACCATGCCCAGCACCGGGATCCTCGCTGGATCCTCACTGCATCCTCGCTGCATCCTCTCCCCATCTCCCCTCCCTCCAAACAAGACCATTCTGGCCAGTGGCTCCGTCACCTCGCTCTTCAGGCAAGCGGAGGGTTACAAAAGCAGGACCGTGTACCTGTGCTAGGGGAGCTGTTTTTCTGTTTGGAGTTTTGCCTCGATTCTTTCATCCAGGGGAAAATCTGCTTGGTGAGACTGGCGTTCGCGCTGAGGTTGGCTTTGCTGGGGGCAGTTTTAGTGCTCCCCGACTGGTTATTGCTGTTGCTACTGGTGCTGTTGGTGGCGGGGTTTGGGGGCGGCGAGACGGGGGGAGGCGGGTGGTGCTCCTGGGGCAAACTTGGCCTCATGCAGCTCCCGTTCAGGTCTTTACTTTTTGCGTGCGGGGTTGTGTTGCCAAGAGACTGGAGGGAGCAGGCAGACCTCTGGTAGTCGTTCTCCACGTGGGAAGCCGGCTGGAAGGGCTGCTGGGGACCCTCGTAGCCGAACCCATTGGCGCTCCCGTAGGAGTAACCCCCAAAGAGCGTGGAGCTGTCGTAGTACGTTGTCTTCTGCATCTCTGGGACTCCCCAAAATGATTTTTCCGGCTACCAGGGTCTTGACACCCCTATGGCAGAACATTGGCACCCCAAGGCCACGTGACAGGCCGTTTCCAGCTGTCTATTGGAAGCTGACCTGAAAGGTTAGGAGAAAACACACAATAATAGTACCCGGCCTATGAATCCATCTTGGGGCCTGAAAGGCCCATGACATGAATAGGGTCCCGCAGAACAGGGCGAACAGATGCTTTGAGCAGATTTTGTCCTGTGTGCAGCCTAAGGAGGCTCAACAAATGTTACAGTGCAAAAGCCTTGAGCTGATTTTGGGGGTAGTTTCCCTGGTCGGTTGCACCTTTTTTTTCCCTTAGAGGATGGCACCCAGGGTGTGTAACTACACCCACACTCTGTAAGTACACGTGGTTTCATCTGTGTACATCTACTTGCTTCTATATTTATCTATATACATATATATACACACCCATGCATACATATATGCATGTAGATGTGTGTGTTGTGTGCACGTAGACACATCCATGTCCAGATAACACACAAATTAATGTAAATATGAGAGTATAGAACGGATAATTGCTAGCTACGAGCATGAAAGGAATGAAAGTCTCGCTTTCTTACCCCTGACTTATTCAAATCAGCTATTCACACACATGAGAACCAGCAAGACATTATATCATCAGAAATTAAAAGTCTGCTAAGTTTATTGTAGGGCCCCTGTCCGCTATATTTGCTTTTAAACTGGAAACAGCAAATAGTCAATATGTTTTATCCAGGTAATGGTGTCGTGACACAGTTGGCCTGATTTGCTGTTTACACAATGTCTTTGGAATTCAGTGCAAATATTTTAAGCAGATTTAAGCAGGGGCATGAATTCAAGAATGTGCTTCCTTTGGCCTGTTTGTTACTCTCTCTCTCTCTCGGGTAGCACAGGTTGTATTTAAAAAACATACCCCTTCATTGCCTGCACTGCTTTGTACTCCTCCGTTTTGAATCTGGAACTACCATTGGCAAGATGTGATTCCAAAACCAGTTTAATTGCTGTTGTTTTTTTTTCCTTGGAAAACAAACGCATCACCAGGCCATTTGCTCTTAACTTTGTACCCTTTGATTTTTCATCGTTCCTCCCTCCCTCAATCCAAGCTCAAAAAGTCTAAAAAACCAATCCAAAACCTCAAATTACAAAATGAAACCTTCCTTTTTTCTTTCTCTCTCTGGCCTTTTTTTTTTTTTTTAAATATCTTTTTCTCCTTCTTTCCTCAAAACATAAACTTTCTCTACCATAAACACAGAGTAGAAATACCCTTAGAAATATGAAAACTATCTTGACCTGAAAATAATCTGATGTGTGAGGATCAATCAAGCAGCAAACATATTTTCAAAAGGCAGTGACTTCTCTCTGCAGCTTAGAGTTTACGAGGAGCCACTGTGCATTTTGTTTTGAAATTGATATCCACTGTATATTTAATTGTATCTATTGTATATTTAATTTTATCTGGGCTCTTTCATTCTCGAAAATAAAATAAAATAAACTCTGTGGAGATAAAGTCTAATGCGATATTTCTAAGTACCGGGGTTTAACAGAAGCCACAGCTCGACAATAAATAACATCTTTTTTTCCCTTCCCTGACTGCTGCGTTCTTATGTCATGTCACATGAAACCCCCGTACGCTCCTCACACAGCCCCAGCCAACGTGTCTGCGAAGGGACTCTTGGCTTTTTTTTTTAACACTGATTAAATCCTTTCTGCATTCCCAAATCTGTACGGTATCTTCCACGGAGATGTATTATTGTCTACAGAGAGGATGATATCCTTGCTGGGAGTTATTTTCATTTGGTTTCCTCGCCATGATAAATATGTCTTATTAAAAAGTAGACTCCACTACCCGAGCCGAGAAGCTGTGAATTAATTAACAAACAGCAGCGCCTTTATTATGAATAGGTTTGCTGAAAATATCTGCGAGGGCAGAGGTGGGAATTTCTCCAAGGCCTTCCTGTCTGCCATAGGTTTCTTTAAAAAAAAAAAACAAAACAAACCACAAAACAAACCCAAACCAGAACCGAGCAGAGAGGCTCAGCTAAAGCAGCTAAAAATAACAGCGACGCTTTTTTTTTTTTTCTAAATGTCCATAAAATAAATTTACAATCCCCTTCGCCCAAAAGCTCGCTCGCTTGTGGCTTCCACAGAAGATTTGCTTTGTACCTCATCTCTCAGCGCCTCACAAATGCCGCTCATTTATCTTCGCCGAGGACGGCCGCAATCCTAATTATTTACTCCAAGGAATTGTTTAAAAAAAAAAAAAAATCTCAGACAGAATAATAAATATTCGATTATCTCCTGTTCCAATTAAACCCGGGCAGGATCCGCGCTGGGTGTTTCATCACGCTCCAAGTTTCACTTTGCGAGCGGTAACATTTAACCACAAACTCTTTGCCTGCAACTTTTGAGTGCGAGGATTTAGAGGCACTTAAAAAATAAATAAATAAAAAAATAAAATAAAAATGAATAAAAATCGGGGGAAGGTGCGAGAGGGAAAGGGCTGCGGGGAGGAGGATGCTCGGAAAAAAAAATAATCAGGCGGTCGGGGGAAAAAGATCAAAGAAATGTAAGGCAGAGGGATTCTCCTGCAAAGCCATCCCCTCCATGTTGGAAATCCTAAATTCACAACCTGACTGTGTTTATGAAGAAGAGCAGCGCCTTTCCCCTCCCCCCGCCCCCCTCCTAAGGTATATTTCCCAGAGCCAGCGAAACCAGGCATAGCCCCGCTTTTAATTTAAATTATTATTAATAA